TCAAATAGCCCCAACGAAGTAAACCCACCTGATTCCCCGACCCCAGGCTCTCCTTTGACCACGGCTCCGAACACTGCAATAACTACCCCTTCACCAATGCCTACTAGTACAGTAGCCAATAATCAACCCTCAAGGAACATTTCCACTCTCCCAGCATGCCCAACTTCAACACCTCTACCCCCACAACCTCCAACATCAACCACCCCATCCTCCCTTATTAATACCTTACAGCCTTATAGCCCACCTCTCCATAACACTACCTCCATCAACACTACTCCATCTTCGTCACGCCCTCGCCCTTCTACCACCCCTATCTCTAAAACAATCTTGAATACTCTCTTCAGTGCAGCCAAATGGGACCGATTTTTCGTGATCCCTCCCACAGCTCCCTACTCTGACAACACCCTTCTCTTCCAACAATGCCTCCAAAAACAAGTAGGTAAAGTCTCTTTCCGTAGCCGACCCGACCGCTCCCGTCTTGTAACAGTAACATCCGAAAACCAAGCCATAGCATTAACAAAACTAACTGACCAATATGGTAACCCCATCCTAGCAGAACCCCATCCAACCCTCAATACTTGCACTGGAACAGTCTCAATCTCACCAACAAATTGCCCAATCTATGACAAAGATTGGTCAGATTGTGGAGAAGATCTACTTGCCTGTCTCACAGACTACGATGCAACATCAGTACAATGCTACTCAATCCCCCCCAGAGGTCATCGAAAGAAACCCACTAACATAGCCAAAATTACCTTCCGTAGACATGACCTTCCCTTTAACGTCTACATAGGAGGAGAATCCCTCCCTGTTCGTCCATACCAACCTCCTCCACGTCAGTGCCAAAATTGTTGGCGTCTAGGACACCCAGCCAAACACTGCCGTTCCACAGCCAGATGCCCATTATGTGCCCAACCTGGCCATACCCGATCTAACTGCTCTGCACATTCACGCACATGTGCCAACTGTGGCGGCCCCCATAATGTATTTTATAGGGGCTGTCCCACCTACAAATTTGAATCTGAGGTAGCAACTCTCAAATTCAAACTTGGACTCACACTGCGTGAAGCCAGACAGGAAGCACGTCGACGTGGATTCTCTCTTACTCCTTACTCCAGTAATACTGCTCATTCTAACACTTCTCCTAAACCCACCCCTCCTACATCTAACCCCCCCACTTCTACCTCCTACCTTCCCCAGTCAAACTCTTTTGCCATCCTAAATCCAGAAACTCCAATCTCTAATACAGATACTCCAATCACCACTACAACCCCAACACCTTCCCCTCTCCCTCCTCGCACTCCCCGTAACAGACAGAACAAACGTTCCAACCCCTCTTCCCCTACCACACAATCACCTCCACCATCCTTTGCCCCTACTCTTGAAACACCAGTCCTCTCTTCCCCCCCTCACAAGAAATCCTTTATCCCCCACAACTCCCCAACCAACTCCTCAGCAATGAACAGGCAGATACACTAGCACGCCACGCTGCTATGTCCATATCATACCAACCACGCTTCTCACGTATCCCAGCCACGGATTATTACCCACACTTTAAGACCTTCTTGTATAAACGATGGCAATCTTTCTGGTCAAGCCTCCACACTAATAAATTACATTCTGTAAAACTATCAATCTCCTCCTGGTCAGCTCCATTTCATCGGAACAGACGTTGGGAGACTGCTCTCGCCCGCTTACGCATTGGCCACACCCGTCTAACACACTCCTATCTGATGTCACAATCTGATCCACCCCTATGTTCATTATGTAATGTTCCCCTTTCAATCGTACACATCCTATTGTCGTGTCCACGTTTTGAAGCAGCCCGTACCTCTGCTTTCCCCCACCTATCCTCCCTTCACCGACCTCCCAACCTATCAGACATCCTTACAGAATCCCACACTTTCTGCATCAACAACCTGTTCTCTTTCCTCAAACGCATACATATCCTTTATCTAATCTAACACCCGACCTTAACCTTTAACTCACCAATTCCTTTGCCCAGCCTAGACAACTAATCACTAACTCAACCACCTTTCACTAACATTAACTATAGTGCTACATGACCTTAGATGTCTAGCACATTTATCTTGCTTTTAACCATTAACCATTAACCGACATACTGCATGGTTCTGATACAAAGGACTCATTCTCTACGGACTCCCCAATCCCTTGCTCGTTGTTGTCGTGGGAGCTTTGGAGGAGGAGACTGAGGCCCAATGT